TAATGCTCATTGCGCAAGACGAGGCAAAACGTACCAAATTATGTTAGACTTACGTATAGCAATCCGTCCTTCCTATTTGGCACGGAATAAAAAGGGAAGGAGAAAGACCGCGTGTTGTGCAACGTATTTGTCAATGAAAATTTCAAACAACTTTTGAATGACACTTGTCAAGTTGAATATGAACTGTACGTTTATTCTTGTCAGACCACGGGCAATGAACAAGGACAAGGAGATGCCCAGCGTACAAAACGATCACCTCTCACCTGTATTAGGTAGCCAATAAAAATGCATTGCCTCGTGTTGCGCGCGCATACCAGGTAAAAATAGATAGGTCTATTTATAGGTTATTTGACTTTGTTTGTCGACTTTCTGCCAAAGTCATTCATAATGAAATCTTCTATTACTTTTGCTATATTAAACAGTGCTTCCATCAGGGTATTGTTTCATTGGCCCAAACAGGAAATACCCTTACAGTTACAATATCCTAAAGGTACATCTCCAAATAATATTCATATCTAGCGTCACCCTGGGCTACATTCCACTAGCTTGGAGAGAGGCTGGTGTGACATTTATTCCAAAAGCAGGGCGCCGACCAGAGGATGAACCAAAATCCTATTGACCAATCAGCCTAACATCCTTTCTCCTTAAATCCATGGAGAAAGCAATATCCATATATCAGAAGTGAAATTTTAAATAGGACACCGTTTTGTCCAAGACAATTTGCTTATCAAGCAGGCAAATCCACAACAAGTGCACTCCATCGTCTAGTAACAGACATAGAAAAGTCACTCGAGGCAAAAAAAATCGCTCTTGCAGCTTTTATAGATATAGAGGGTGCCTTTGATAACACCTCACACCAATCCAATCTATCAAAAAGCTCTCGAAGATAGGGGGTAGAAGCTCCCATTATAGGATGGCAGAAGCCATGCTAAAACATCGCTCAGTATCGGCGAACTCGAACGGCGAAACAGTTATTGTCACCACGGCTAAAGGCGGAGGTGTCCTTTCGCCTCTTCTGTGGACACAGTCTAAGCAACGAAGGAATCACTGTCTTAGGTTACACAGATGATCTGGCGGTAATAATTAGAGGCAAGCATGAAGGCATAATAACAGGTTGAATGCAATGTGCCAAAAACTAGAGTGAGGAAGAAGGACTTTCCATAAATCCCAGCAAACGACTTTAGTTCCGTTTACGAAAAGAAGGAAGCTGGATCTGCGAGCCCCCACCCTGAACGCAACACAATTATTTCTCTCGGATCAAGTTAGGTATTTAGGCGTTAAACAACTAGCTGGGAACCAAGACGCCAAGGGAAAGAGGGCATTGAGGAGGCAGACCGCCTCGCAAAGGAAGGCGCTATAACACCTTTTCAAGGCCCAGAGCTTTTCTGCGGACTATTGAAATGCTACGCCTTCAAAGAAATGCACAAATGGAAAAAGGACCGAATGCTAGCTCATTGGAGATCCGTCCCGGTCTGAGACAGGCAAAACGGTTCATATCTCGGTTCATATCTATCTCAGCAAAGAGATCTGAACAGCTCCTCAACATGAACCGAAGAGACATTAGAACAGTCGTTGGTCTGCTTACTGGGCACTTCATATCACCTAAAAACAATAGGCAAAGCAGACAACGACCACTGTAGACTTTGCGAACAAGTGAGAGAAACCACAGCACATTTAATCTGTGAATGCCCTGTACACTTCTGTAAGAGGCTGAAATACCTTGAAGGGGTACGGCTAACACCCCAAGAGGTGGGCACTTTACCACCCAGGCCTCCTGTGGGAGAAGCCTACACATATTGGACACCAACTAGAAGCAGAGTCACACACAAAATATCTGGAAAGGTAGCAGTGCTTGAGCGGCTGGAACTACCCTTTACGACTCGATATGCAATCTACAATCTAGTAGTTTGAGAATATTTTCTAGGAGCCAATCAAAAACGACTATAAGATAGAAAACAAACCTTCACCAAATAAGAATTACATACGAACATCTATCTCTTCTTCTTTTACAAGAAGTGAAAAATCAACATCCGATTTCGAATCTTCAAGTTAACTAAGTTCTTACAAGGTTATCAAACGGTCTAGTGCCTATTTAGAACATTAATCAATTATTGAGATATTAAAACCAGTATACCCACGAAAAAAATTATTTCCTTTCGAATATATGATCGCCAATTCCTCGCTAAACATAGAAGGTACTTCCAGTGGCGACGGCCTTTAGCCAAATGACAGGTTTGGGTACGACCGGAGCCGCAGGCGATGATTGGGCAATAGAAAATCGCCCGAAAAGTGTGTCTAGGGCAACGGTCCGTAATAACATGGCGTATTGGGCAATTTTATAAAGTCGATTCGAGAGGTGTTGCTATATCGGGCAATGGCATGCCTAGTAGTAAATTATCGTCTTTGTGCGCTCGATAAAATTGCACCTCTTGTGCCCCAAATTAATAAAATTAAATTGCATCTATGCATGAACGAGGTAGTTTTTATTCCTTTTTAAGTGAGCTTATTTTTGCGTAACAAGGAAAATATTGGCAATCTTGACAATAGTTCAAATTGATTAAAAATAGTCATCATTTATTTAAAAACCAATTTAATAAAATTTATACTAATAACTTTGACCGCACCTTCAATCACTTTCCAAATCGGTACCTACTTCCGCATTTTTTAGGTACACGTTTGCCATTTTTAATTAAAATTTTGTAATATATACCTTCAAAAACTAGCTATATAAATCATGTTAGGTACTTACCTAAATCGATTAGTATTGCCCTAGACATACTTCAGTTTGGTATAGGCCATATTGCTCAACAATCATTTATGGGTTTTGCAAAGGCCATTGCTGGAAGTGCATTCGTGACCGATCATTTTTCTCTACATATTTGTTATTATTTATAATTTTCTTTTATAAACTTTTAAGTCGTGTTGTTATGAATAATTTGCAGTTGTTATAGGGGAAATCCTTTATTTTCATGACGGCTCACCTTGGATAGTTTCTTTAATAAGATAAATAATTATAGGAATCGAAAGAAATTATGTTTGAATGAAGATATGTACAAACATTAATTAATTACATTATTAATTTTTTTTAATTATCCATCATCTTCGGAAAATTTGATTTGTTAAATGATTTGCAGATTGAAATCGCTATTGGAAATTGCCGTATATTATATTATATACATATATAAATTCTAGGGCTTGGGATCAAATTTGAATATTCACATATGTATATTTCTATCATCTTATATTCAAATTTCCGAATATAGCAAGTCAATGTTTGAATGTTTAATCTTTTTCGGCATCTTGCGTAGTTGGAGACGTTTAGAATCTTCATTTTATATTTACAAAATGATGTCTTCAGTCGAAAATGATAATCTTGAGTCAAGTATTTTCACATACGGTTCAGATCTGCAAGAATAAAACATTGAGAATGAGTTGAATTCAACAAAGTCTTCATTCTAACATCTTCTGGTTTTTGTTTTCTAGAACCTCTTTATGCTTTCGATTTAAAGTCTTTAGAGAAAAGTACTTCGCCTTTGAAGAATAACAAAGAGCACTCCCTTAAGCTCTTACAGTATATTTTGCCTTTCGAATCTTTCATGGCTTTAGTAACGAATTTCGTGTCGTTGCCTTTTAGAATCTTCAGACTTTTTAGAGCATTCAAAATCTTTAAATCAAGGCTCTCTCTTTTGTATCTTGAAATATAAGTCTTTGGAGCTCCTATAGAATCTAAGTTCTTGTCTGAAATGAGAATCTTAAGTCTCGAGTCAAATAGCAAAGCTTGGGCTTGAGATTTGTAAGATCAAGACTCTGAGGATAAGTTCAAATCAACAGAGTTTTCATTCTAAAATATTCAAAAATAAGTTTTCAAAATCTTGTTGTTTTCGTTTTTTAGAATCATTTCATGATCTTGATTCAAAGCCCTTAAGTCCCAAAGTCTTCAAAGAGAAGAACTTCACCTTTGATGACTTGGTATTCATTCTAACATCTTCAAAATCTTCAGAATATTCAATAGAATCTTTAGATTTCAGGGTTGAAAGAGAGATCCTTTAGTTTTGAGTCAAATATTCTAAGATAGATTTAAATCTAGACCCTGATGATGAGTTCAACCTTCATTCTAAATTCTTCAAAGTCTTGTGGGTTTCATTTTTTAGAATCTCTCCAAAATATTCAAAGCTCGATCCAAAAAAAAGAACTTCGCGTTTAGGGCCAAATTATGGACCAACTGGTAAGTGTCTGGTTGTTACCTAGCAGATACTTTCTATTCTCTACAGTAGTGCATAGAAAATACCTGCTAGGTAACAACCAGACGTTTACCAGTCAATTCATAATTTGGCCCTCAAAGAAAGTTTTTATACAGAGAATACATCTTTAAGCTCTTAGAATGTTGACTTTAGAATCTCTCATGGCTCAATAATGATTCTAATATCTCAACAAGTCTTTGGAATCTTCAAAGTTTTTAGTCTTAATTAAATCTTGATCCTCAAGACACTTCAAAGTTTTTTGGATTTTCTGGTCAGATGCTCCTTTCATTTTTCCATATACATCTCCGATGCTCTTGCCAACTAATTAGAATCTTTACTTTTCGGAAGTTACCTTTTCCAAGAGTATTATAGTCATTTCTCTCCTATAATAAACCTATTGAAACTATCAAAAATAAGTATAAATAACTGAATTAAGTGGAGGTATGTTGTGACTGTGAGATTGTCGATTATGTAACAATCTCAAATTTTGGAACATTCCTACGTGAAAATATTTCACCTGCAGCGAATAATTAACCCGATTTTAAAATTCCGGTCAAAAACAATTTTAAAGGTTGCGCCTACCTGACCCGACTCTCACACCATTGAGTAGGTAATTGGATTGCGGCACTTTCTCACACCCATAATGTAATTTGTATATTTTTGTAATTATAATAAAACCTTCCTTATTTTTGATGACATCCAGAAAATTGCGGGCAGAAATATGCCTATAAACTGATAAGAAAAAAGATTAAGTCATACCTTTTTGTGATTCCACATAACGTTTACGCTGGGTTTTCCCCTTCTGAAATCTGACTGATCGATGACGTCGTCGTGGACTAGTGAGGCTGTGTGGATCATTTCGGAAATCATGGCTACTTCCCTTTGTGATGCCAAAAGTGAACTGAAATTAATGGAAACTATTAATCATGGATTTTCCAAACAAATATACTTGTGGATATTCTTTTGCAAGATGATTTTATTGGAATAGATTGGTTAAAATATGATTACATCTAGCAATGAAGGTCGTCTATGGTCACATTATTAAAATGCCATCAACATCCTCACCAACAAACACATTAGTACATTTTTGCATTAAGTTATAATACGCGTTCATTAATAATTCTGTACTCGTAATTTTTGCATAATATAATTATTGATACATCTAAAATATATTCGTTCACTTACGCGTACAGTTGGAATTTTTATGTGTTTATACATAAAACAAAAGGTAACTTTGAAAAACCCCGCCATTGGATTTTTTCTATCAGTTAAAGACATTTTGTACATGTTAAGTGATATGTATATATAGGGAGAAAATATTGTTTTCCTTTATTTTTGGCTTTTATGCTCTATGTATGTATGTATGTATGTATGTATGTATGTATGTATGTATGTGTTGGAGGTGTTAGTTGCACTGCGACCAAGGTTGATCTATTGTACCCCTCCTTCTGCTGCTAAGTTCGGGTTTCCTGCTCAAAGCAGTCTAGTTATAGGTCCTTTAGGAATTTTAGGATGTCTAGCGGTTCCAGGGCTGGAATGTCTTCCAGCTGTATAAGGGGACTTCCCAAGTTCTTCATTCTTGAGCGGCTTACGGCATCGCAGTTCAGTAGAAGATGGTGAGGTGTTTCTCCATCGTCTTCACAGAATCTGCAAGTGTTACCTTCTTCCAACCCCATATGTACGTAGGTGCTTATTCAGTCTGCAATGTCCCGAGAGAAACCCGGTTGGAGTTTTGAGACTTTTCTTGCTAAGGTTGACCAGCAGTTCAGATCTTTTTTGGTTGTAGCTACCCAGTAGATCTTTGGCCTGTCGTAGTCCTGGTTGGTCTAGCCATTGTTTGTTCCTTAGCCGGTTCTCTTCCTTTTTGAGGATTTCTGGGAGGTGCGCATTTCCGACGCCGTTTATGCAAGTTCGACTGCGCATTCATTGCCCTCGAATCCTATGTGTCCAGGAACCCAGAGTAGGGTTACTTTGTTTTCCTTCCCCAGCTCATTGAGTTTTTGTAGACATTCCCATACTATCTTAGAATTGATTACCGGCGAGCTCAATGCTTTGATAGCTGCTTGGCTGTCAGATATTATTACAATTTCTCGTTTTCGGTACCTTCTATTCAGGTTGAACTGCACGCATTTTCTGATCGCATGAAGTTCGGCTTGGAATATGCTTGGTGATTTGCCCATTGGCTTCGAGTGTCTGGTTCGTGGCCCGAATACTCCGGCTCCTGTCCCCTCAGCAATTTTGGAGTTGTCTGTGAACCATTTGATGGTGTTTGCTTTAAGGGACTGGATACATTCCATGTTCCATCTGTTCTTTGTACTTAGTTCGATGGAAAAGTTTTTCTCTAAACTGAATTTATCAACAATCGCGTCTTTTGCGAAGTGGTATTAGGTCTAGGATGACTTCCATTGCCGCGGTTGGGCATATTCTCATTGCTCCTGTTATGCATAGACATGCGAGTCTTTGTACCTTTCCTAGGGTTTTCCTAGCCGTTACTAGCTGGGTTCGGCTGTACCAGGCTACCACTCCGTAGATGATGATAGGTCTCACTATCATGGTATACATCTATCGTAGGATCGATGGGTTACAACCCCACGTTTTGCCCGCAATGTTTTTACATACCATGAGTGCCGAAATTGCTTTGTTTGTTATGTTCTCTATGTGTCGGTTCCAAAGGAGTTTGGAGTCTAGGGTAATTCCTAGGAATTTAACTTCTTATTTCCAGTGAAGCCTGCTTCCATCGAGGCGAATGTTCCTCAGGTATGGGAGTTTCGTTCTTTTTGTAAATGTTACCAGTGTGGTTTTTGATGAGTTAAGATTCAGTTCCACTGTCTGACACCATTCCTTCGTGGTTCGGAGTGCTTTTTCTATAAGGTCACAGAGTATTCCTTCGTGCTGGCTATGATGAAAATATCATCGGCGTAACCAAGGCAGTTGAAGCCCTGGTCTGTCAGTGTATTTAGTAGATCATCGACTACTAGACTCCACATCAAGGGTGAGAGTACCCCTCCCTGTGGACATCCTCTCGTTGTGGTGACTTGTATGGTTTCACACATCCCGGTGGATGTGGTTTTGTCCACTCCTTTTCTGACAAGCGCATTCTTTATTGACTCATGAGAGGTGTTATCGAAAGCCTCCTCTATGTCTAAGAAGGCGCAGATGGCTACTTCTTTATGCTCTATGCTATCCAAATAATTTTAATATTTGATTTTCTTTCCATATAGCAGATCCATCGGAAACAACCCAATAATGAAAAAGTAGAGTGTAATGAACGCGAAATATATACCGAGCAGAAGCTAATTGAAAGACCAAACATTTTGAAAAACCCGAAAACAAATATTGATTTTTCAAATAAAATAAATGGCTTCCTGGTGTATTTTTAGCCAAAATTATAATTTAAATTGATGACTATTCATATTCTAATGTATTTCCGATTAGATAACCACCTGATCGGGTACCTTTTACCGAAATAATATAAATGCAAATACGAAGGTTAAAAAAGCACTAAATTAACCCAGCAAAAAATTTAACAAACACTGAAACGATGATATTTGAATTAAAACTATGGAGTGTCATCTTCAAACGAAAAATGTTGCTAGTTCAACAAGAAATGCCGGTTTTATAGCATGAGCGTCTACAAATTCAAATTCAGGATTTTGTTAAAATGACACTGAGAAGAATTAAATTGCCAGTTATATAATTCAAAGAAGGTGTTCTGGAGTTTCCTCACAAAAAGGTGCTCTCTTGACCGACAGTGGCCTTTAAATAATCTAGTGAAAATCCGGAGATTATTTTTACTCAGTGATATAAGGTCTTTTGATCTTTCTTATAGTGAGGGGACCCGATAAACATCTTTGATTGCCCTTAACCCTAGGAGTTCTTCCCAGAGGCTGATCCACTTGTTGGGCCCTTCCATTTGAATTTTCTATGGTGGATGATAATTTTGTTATGACTGCGAACTTACTGAAAAAAAGTTCCAAATATATACCTATTGATGTCTGAAAGATTTTTGATAAACCCAAAATTAACGATCAAATCAAGTTAATTTCAATAAATCCCTTAAACTAACAATAACCTCGAGCATAAATTTTTGACTCGAATTCCAAAAATACCTCCGAACATAAATTATTCCTGCCCAAAAAGTTATCTTTTGTAATTATCATTTAGATGTTAAATTAATTCATTTTTTTCCAAATTATAATAACGGAAATTATTTCAAAATAGATAAATTTGATCTTAATCATCTTCATCCTTGTTTGACACTTTACATTTTTACAGTTTACATTTTTGATGTTTCAAGTTATGAATATTTTATCATAATGGTGGACATTTCAAGAATATAGAAGGATCTATTTAGAAACTAGTCAGATAAATACACATTAACATATTTTAGCAGGTGGTGTGGGAGGGAGGAAAATATGCAATAGGCAGAGGTAATCCAATTCAATTTTTCTTAATAATTATTGAAATAATGAAGTAACATAGTAAGCCTAAAAAAAAAAACTAAGGTCATAATCGAAAGTGATAAAAAGACGTCACATAAGTAAGTAGTGTAAAACAGTTCGTCACTGACCAGAAATTAGCATCCACACTCCGTGCATCTGTGTTCCTTGACTAATTATCAATATTTGGAGCTTAACAAATCTAATTAAATAATCATAAGGACTGTGGTACTATGGTAGATTCATGTTTTTTCTATTCCAGGCTCTTGAATTTTCTTTTCTTTATGTAGAGAAATTCAAAAGAAAACGAAAATTCATGAGCCAGGAATAAAATTGAGATGGAAAAACTGAGAATTAAATAGAGAAGAAATGTAGAAAAATTGAGAAAAAAATTGTGGATAGAAGGACATTTATGTTTTTTCTATTCCAGACTCTTGAATTTTCTTTATTTCGAGAAATTCAAAAGCCGAGAATAGACAAAAATTGAGCTGGAAAAATTGAGAAATAGAGAGGCAATAAGAGGAATTTAAGAAATTAGCATCTACACTGCGTGTATTTGTGTTCCTTAACTGATTATCAATATTTGGAGCTTAACAAATCTAATTAAATAATCATAAGGACTGTGGTACTATGGTAGATTCATGTTTTTTCTATTCCAGGCTCTTGAATTTTCTTCTCTTTATGTAGAGAAATTCAATAGAAAACGAAAATTCATGAGCCAGGAATAAAATTGTGATGGAAAAACTGAGAATGAGAAAATGTAGAAAAATTGAGAAAAAATTGGTGGATGAGAGGACATTCATATTTTTTCTATTTCAGAATCTTGAATTTTCTCAATTTCGAGAAATTCTAGAGCCGGGAATAGACAAAAATTAAGCTGGAAAAATTGAGAAATAGAGAGGCAATAAGAGGAATTTAAGAAATTAGCATCTACACTGCGTGTATCTGTGTTTCTTGACTGATTATTAATATTTGGAGCTTAACAAATCTAATTAAATAATCATAAGAACTGTGGTACTATGGTAGATTCATGTTTTTACTATTCCAGGCTCTTGAATTTTCATCTCTTTATGTAGAGAAATTAAAAAGAAAACGAAAATTCATGAGCCAGGAATAAAAATGAGATGGAAAAACTGAGAATTAAATAGAGGAAATGTAGAAAAATTGAGAGAAAAATGGTGGATAAGAGGACATTCATATTTTTTCTATTTCAGGATCTTGAATTTTCCTAATTTCGAGAAATTCAAGAGCCGGGAATAGACAAAACTTGAGCTGAAAAAATTGAGAAATAGAGAGGAAATAAGAGGAATTTAAGAAATTAGCATCTACACTGCGTGTATCTGTGTTCCTTGACTGATTATCAATATTTGGAGCTTAACAAATCTAATTAAATAATCATAAGGACTGTGTTACTATGGTAGATTCATGTTTTTACTATTCCAGGCTCTTGAATTTTCATCTC